TCTTTGTAAAAGAACCAGAATCAAACTAGGGTAGTTTGATCTCTGTGCTTGTTCTTCAAGTTCATTGATTTTGGTAATTTTACCAAGACCTATAACATGCTTGCATCGCCATGCTCTCTCGTTCTCTCTCTCTGTACGTGGGTGTGAAGTGAACACAACCATTGACAGTAGGATGCCTCCCCTTTTCCATAACTCGTCTGATCTTCAAACCCTAAAGAAACCCAAAATCCTAGTACCTAAAAACACATTTTCTTCACTTCAAGGTCGCTTTTCGGTGCACCATTGTGCATGGCTCTTCGTCACCATTCTCTTCCAAGTCTTCCTCCTAATCTTCATCTCCGGTACTCAACTTATATACAATACACCCATGATAAGAATTGATGTAGAACGTGATTAATTAAGTTAGCAGAATTATGTTGATTTAGTCTTTAACTGTTAACTAGAAAGTAGGAGAGGAGTTGCAGAAGACTTAGTCTGTAGTAGTTGCTTTTATTTAGGAATTAGTTGCTACTTTATAGGCATTGTGGTTATGGTTTTAGGTTATAAATAAAGGGTGTAATCAGCCGTTTAATGATATGAGAATTACATAGTATTTCTTCAATTTTGAATTGATAAAGCTGTAGCTTTTTTTTTCTTCTCTCTGTTTTTTACTTTGTATTCAAACTCTTGGTGCCTTTGTCTCTCTTATTTCCAACAGTTTGTGGTATCAGAGCCCAGGTCTGATCCAATTGGGCTTATTTTTGTACAGCTTTCGAGATCAAGTGCAGTAGCAATAGCAGGACATCTCTTGTGCAGCTGAGGTGTTTGTGAAAAGGCTTCAAAAAGGAAGAATCATGAATTCTCTCAATGTATCACAAAACCAGTCTTTAGTGCCAATTTTCAATGGAGAGAACTACGAGTTCTGGAGCATTAAGATGAAGACTTTTTTCATCTCACAAGACCTATGGGAGCTTGTTGAATCTGGCTATGTAGATACAGCAGCTGAGGTGAGGGAGCTTCGTAAGAAGGATGCGAAGGCCCTGCTTGTTTTACAACAAGCTGTGACGGAGGCTATTTTTCCCCGTCTTGCAAATGCTGCCAAATCGAAGGATGCATGGGAAATTTTGAGGCAGGAGTTCCATGGAGATAGCAAGGTAACGATGGTGAAACTCCAAATGTTTCGTCGGGAATTCGAAACACTCCTTATGAAAGGTAATGAATCGGTGCAAGATTACATTACTAGAGTGTCTATCATAGTAAATCAAATGAAAACATTTGGTGAGAATATTTCTGATCAAAAAGTAGTCGAGAAGATTTTACGAAGTCTTCCTTCTAAGTGGGATCATGTAGTTACTGCTATTGAAGAATCTAAGGATATGAATACTTATTCTTTGAATGATTTAATGGGGTCTCTTTTAGCACATGAAGGTAGGATGAACAGGGCTGAAAATAAGAATCTGGAACAGGCATTTCAGTCGAATGTGGATCTTTCCAAAGAAAAATTTGGTGAAGGTGGTTCTGGATATACAGGAAGAGGCCGAGGCACTTATTGTGGTCGTGGTCGTGGACGAGGATACAGCCAATNGTGGATCTTTCCAAAGAAAAATTTGGTGAAGGTGGTTCTGGATATACAGGAAGAGGCCGAGGCACTTATTGTGGTCGTGGTCGTGGTCGTGGACGAGGATACAACCAAGCTGGTCGGGGTTATCAAAATAGTGGTAGAGGCAACAAAAGGCAGGACCATCAAGACAAGCAATGCTATTCGTGTAAGCAATATGGGCACATTTCACCAAATTGCCCAAACAAGGCTCAGCAGAAAGCCAACTTTGCTAAAGCAGAATGNCAAGAAATGGGGCATAACGGTGTGGTATCAAATTACACGATATCCACCAGTATTACACAGGTCGATGGATAACCAATCGGATAATTACAGACACCCGGACTTTGGGGTGTCACAGCTGTAAACGAGAGAAAATCTCAAGTAGAGAGGGAAGACTAGAACCATTCAAAATCTGAAAACGAATAGCCTTGTATTCAGGTTTCAATCCTACCAAAAACCTAACAACATCCAAATTGTCATGTTGCTTCTGCCAAACTGTTACATTAGTAGTAAACGGGTGGTAGAGCTTCAACTACTCATAGAGTCCTTGAACGTAGGAGTAATAATCCTCAAGGCTTAGTGTACCCTGGTCCAGCTGAAAGTATTGCTTTCATACCTCATAAGCACGGGTAAAATTATCTGTACCAGAATACATAGTAGTCAAGTGATCACATATCTCTTTGGTAGTGTCAAGGTAAAGCAAACTAGAACTAATACTTGGCTCAATGCTATTCAACAGTAAAAAGATAATTTGAGTGTTNGTGTCAAGGTAAAACAAACTAGAACTAATACTTGGCTCAATGCTATTCAACAGTAAAGAGATAATCTAAGTGTCCTCTTGTTCTCATTGATCATACCCAGAGGTATCTTCATTAGGTGTGAGATTAACCAAATATTTCTTAAAACCTTTTCCTCGAAGAAAGACTTGAATGGAATAGGACCATAAAGTATAATTGGTCCCATCGAGTTTAATAGAAGTAATGAGACCATTAATAAGAACCAGAGAAGTAGAGGTAGACGGCAAAGATGGAGCAATAGCATCTTACTTAGGTTCCATAATGATAATTCTGAACCCCCGAATTCTAGTTGATTTTGGTTTACAGATGAAATCTTTCAATTTAATTGTCATGCCATGCCGCTTCTCCAGAGTCGTTCTCCACCAAAAAAAATCTTATTGTCTTTGTAAGCAAGAATGATTTCATTGCACAGATTGGACTGGGCCGAGAAGTGCAATTAATCAAGGTGGATTTAATTTCCTTTGGAATGGGGTATTGCAGAGAGATCATGATAATGATCTGGGTTGACAGTTGGTTCTATAAGTCCTTGCAAATCTGCTTGAAATCGAGGATGTCAAGTAATGAATGAGTGTTTGAAAATGAATAAGAAATAGATTACCTATTTCTCCATTTTTTGTTGCCCAAGTTCCATCTGGTAATTCAGGAAATCAATGGAGTTTTTTTGTATCTTTTTACAGTGTGCATCTCACTGCACCAGTCATTGTATTCTTCACCTTTGACGCCATCTTTCTTCTTCCCTCTTTAATTGCTCTGCTACGTTGAATTGTACTATTTTTCCACTCCAGTATAAATGGAGGGATTTTTGGGGCTAAGGCTTGTAATTCCCAGCAGGATCACGATCACCTGAATGACACTACTTTTTGTCTGGAAATCTAAGGGTTTAATTGTTACGATTAACGAGTTTAGTGATTCAATTGACACAACAAAAATTTTCATGACTTAATTGACACAAAAATGAGTCATAAATATGTGTAGTTTAATCTAGATGTTTTTGTCCCATGGCACCTTGTATATAAAATAGGAACTTTTTTTTGCTTCTATGCCCTCTATGAGTTACCTATGATATTGTAAATTATAAATTGCAATGCCCTAGGTATTCTAGATCTAAACAAGGGTGAGTTGACAAGCCAGATCTAAATCACATGCTAATNGAAAGAAGAACAAAATCAGCAAGTGCCTTTTGAGGATATAGTCGAGCCGACACAAGCAACAGAGAATCAAGTGTCACCACAGAGTTCTCCATCATCAAACTCATCGGGAAGGTCTACTTCAAGAGAATTAAATAATGAAGGCAGCGACAACTCAGATTCTGCACCTGATTCTGATACCCCTCCTCGTAAGTATCGATCTTTAGCAGAAATTTATGAATCATGCACTTTTGCTTTGTTAAGTGCAGAACCTGTTAACTATGAAGAAGCACAAGGGAAAGAAGAATGGGAGCACTCTATGCAAGAGGAAATTATTGCAATCGAAAAAAATGGCACGTGGGAGTTAGTAGACTTGCCATGTGAGAAGAAAGTGATTGGCGTCAAATGGATTTACAAGGTCAAATGCAATCCAGACGGAACCGTGCAAAAGTATAAAGCAAGGCTCGTTGCCAAGGGGTATGTGCAACAACAAGGTACTGATTTTATTGAGAACTTTTCTCCAGTAGCAAGATTTGAGACGGTTCGAATTGTTTTGGCTGTAGCTGCTCAACATAAATGGCCTGTATTTCAGTTTGATGTTAAGTCTGCATTTCTAAATGGTTTTTTGGAAGAGGATGTGTATGTGGCACAACCACAGGGGTTTATAGTCAAAGGTCAAGAGGAGAAAGTTTACAAGCTTAAGAAGGCATTGTACGGACTCAAGCAAGCTCCAAGAGCTTGGTATAGCAGATTGGATACTTATCTTCATCAAAATGGGTATCATAGAAGTGATAGTGAGCCGACATTGTATGTGAAGGTGACATGTACTGGTGATATTCTCATTATATGTGTTTATGTAGATGATATTATATATACATCATCTTCTAACACTCTTGTCAAGGAATTCAAGGTCAGCATGATGCGGGAATTCGACATGTCAGATTTGGGGTCTTTGCATTACTTTCTTGGCATCCAAGTTCAGCAAACAGATGAAGGAATTTTTATTTGCCAAGAAAAGTATGCACGGGAATTGCTGAAGAAGTTTAATATGATGGGTTGTAAAACCTCGTCTACTCCCATGAACCCAAATGAGAAGCTATGTGCGGAAGATGGGACTGCAAGGGCCAATGAAAGAATGTTCAAGAGCATAATTGGCGGACTGATGTACTTAACCAACGCTNGCAGAAATTTATGAATCATGCACTTTTGCTTTGTTAAGTGCAGAACCTGTTAACTATAAAGAAGCACAAGGGAAAGAAGAATGGGAGCACTCTATGCAAGAGGAAGNGTCTTTCATGGGAGAACAAAGCACATTGAACTCCGACACCATTTCATTCGAGAAGCTGTTGCTAAAGGCATGGTAATGATGGAGCATTGCTCAACCAATGACCAAAGTGCAGATGGGTTTACGAAGGCACTCTCATATTCGAAGTTCGTGAAGTTTCGGTCCTCACTCAATGTTTCCAGTTTCGCATCAAAGGGGAGTGATAAGAATTGATGCAGAACGTGATTAATTAAGTTAGCAGAATTATGTTGATTTAGTCTTTAACTGTTAACTAGAAAGTAGGAGAGGAGTTGCAGAAGACTTAGTCTGTAGTAGTTGCTTTTATTTAGGAATTAGTTGCTACTTTATAGGCATTGTGGTTATGATTTTAGGTTATAAATAAAGGGTGTAATCAGCGTTTAATGATATGAGAATTGCAGAGTATTTCTTCCATTTTGAATTGATAAAACTGTAGCTTTTTTTTTTTCTCTCTGTTTTTTACTTTGTATTCAAACTCTTGGTGCCTTTGTCTCTCTTATTTCCAACAACCCACTCAACAACAANTCCAAGTCTTCCTCCTAATCTTCATCTCCGGTACTCAACTTATATACAATACACCCACTCAACAACAGTTATTCCCTTCTTTTCAGGCAGAAAAATGTGAGTCCGGCAAGGTTTACGTATACAACCTGCCAGAAATGCTTAACAAAGATTTGTTGAATAAATGCCACGAATTAGATCCATGGCATTCGCTGTGCAACGCCGTTTCTAACAACCGGTTTGGCCCTAGAGCCACTGGACTCGCCGGCATTGTGCCGGCAAATCTTGTTCCGGCGTGGTACTGGACTGACATGCATGCTGGGGAGATTATATATCACGCTCGGATTTTGAACTACAAGTGTAGAACAATGGATCCAGAATTGGCTAGGGTATTCTACATTCCGTTTTACGCTGGGATTGCGGTACAAAAATATTTGTTCACTAATTCCAGCGCAAGGGACCGTGATTGGCACTGTGAAACAATGCTGAGGTGGGTTCAGAACCAACCATATTGGAGGAGATTCAACGGCTCTGATCACTTCATCATGCTTGGTCGGGTGACGTGGGATTTTCGACGATCCAACGATGCAGATTGGGGGACGAGCTTCATTAACATGCCATTGATGCAAAATATCATACGGCTCACCATTGAACAAAGCCAGTGGGACCCCTTGGATGTTGGTGTACCTTACCCCACCGGATTCCATCCTCGGTCCGCCTCAGAAGTTCATCAATGGCAAAACTTTGTCCGTACTCGCAAGCGAAAGACCCTCTTCGCCTTTGCAGGTGGGAAACGACCGGGTATGAAGAATGACTTCAGATCATTGTTACTGAGTTACTGTTATAAAGAGTCTGACTCGTGTCGAGTCGTAGACTGTGGCCGGACACGGTGCCAAGATGGGACGTCGGCGATTCTTGAAGCCTTCATTGACTCGGACTTCTGTTTGCAGCCTAGAGGTGATTCCTACACGAGGCGCTCTCAGTTTGATTGCATGTTGGCAGGCTCGATCCCAGTGTTTTTCTGGAAAAACGGAATCTATGATCAGTATCAATGGTTCTTGCCAGGTGACCCACAAAGTTTCTCGGTGTTTATAGATCACAGGGATGTGAGAAATGGTGCTACTTCTATAAGACGAGTGCTGGAGATTTTCAGCAGGGAAGAGGTGAGAAGGATGAGAGAGAAAGTGATTGATTCTATACCCAAGTTTGTGTACGCAGACCCTAGTCAGGGTTTGGATGTTAGTATAGATGCTGTTGATATTGCCATTGATGGGGTGTTAAGGAGGTTCAAGGAACAAAGAGGGGGACGCAAGTCAAATACGACAAAGGAAGCAAGTGAAACAGCGAGTATAATTTAATGATATGTACTAACTGGGCTTTCAAGGGAGATATTAGAACGAAAAGGACTAATCAATTGAAGATCACTGTGAAGAACCAGCGTGGGAGCAAATACCAAGTTGATGAACTAACTGTGAAGAACATTCAAATGTGTTGATGAGGAGATTGCAAGATAGCTATGACCAAAAGTCAGGTGAAGATGGCGATAACAACTCTAGCTACAACTCCAAGGGAGATATACGTGCTGTTTTGGTTGTGATGCGTACTGTAATTTCTTAGGGTGTGTATGTGATATTGTATCCATATATTCCTCCAAATTTTTTTTTCTCCGTTCACTCCTTGTCAAGTCATCAATCATATATTAATGATAAATTCACTGATATAAAATGGTATCACTTAAATTTAATGATATAATAGTACTGACCCGAGTCTGTGTAAATTTGAAATATATTAATCTATTAGATAAATTATACTTACACCCTTTTAAACTATAACTTTTTTTTTCACTTTTAACCACTCAACTATTAGATTTTTTACAGTGTACCCTCATCTAGTATTATTCTAAACGAAAACCCGAGAAAATGACTCATAGGATGGATCTAAAAAATGAACTGAAAATAAAATTGTGCCAACTGAACTTGAGCCAATTCTTTACAAAGTGAGGTGATACATACATATCCATACATCTAGTGTTAAAATCCAACTATATTAGCAGATTTGAAGGCAGTGTGTGCACTATTTCTCCGACTCTTGACCAGAACTAACCAACCAAGGCCAACCAACCTCATAAAATTAAAAAAAAAAAGTTCCTAGGTTCGTTAATCAAAGCCCCAAAATATTACTACATACACAGTGGATGATCATTGATCATGATAAAAATAAGAACTTCAGTCATAGAAATTTAAAAGATGGGTGGTAGAACGATAACGAAGATGTGTGAACAATATAATTGAAATGCAACATACCACAGACATCCTTCATATCACCTGCCCATATGAATTTCAGTCTCCTATTCATCATGTCGAAATCTTGGATACAGTAACAAAGTGCATAAAAAGAGAATGTGTTAGATCATTGTTTCGATAAACCAGTAGAATGAAAAAAACATATTCACTTCCCCCAAAACAGAAACTGCAAGACGAATGAATTGATCGAAAAATTTGAAATTACAGTTCGAAAGTGCATAAACGAAGATTTAGTCAGATAATTATTTCAATAAACTGGTAGGATGAATGATAGGTCCCAAACTCAGAGAGTATAATGCTAAGCTACTTTGTTTTCTCTTCGGGTGAGAAACGTACCACAATTTAAATGCAAAGAATACTTGACTTACTTAACGAAAGCGTTGGCTGCTTTAAATAAGCAAAGCCACGTACAAGCGAACCGAAATAAAAGGGTAAGTAATAGCTAACAAATGGAACTCAACACACTTAAAACAGAGCAAAACAAACAGAAATAAAATGATGTAAAACTCGCAACT